AATAAATGTATTAACAGGATTATGTGGATAAAATAAAGGTTTTTTATGTAAAGTGGGTTTAGTAAGCATATATGCCCTGAGAAGAGAGAATGTGGGAGAGAGAGAGAGATTTTGGAAAAGTTGGGGTTAAAAGGTGGGGGGTTTTTAACCAAGTGTGGAGTAATGGGGTTGGGGGTTTCAATGCTAAAATGGGAAAAATGTTGGGAGGAGATAGGTAAAATTTTGGGGGCCGGGGGTAAAAAAAAATGGGGAAACCTTTTAAATTTAGCTATTGAGAAAGGGTTTGGGAAAATAAAAAATATTTTTTTGAAGAGGATAAATAAAATGCAAGGATGATATAGCACGAAAAAAGTATTTGTTAGATTATGTATTTGGGGGATAAAAGGTTGATGGGTAGGGTCCAGGAGTACACAATTATAGAGGGGCAACTAATACGGTCATTATTTTGTTGTAGCTACGTTAGAGTAAGAGGAGATAGAAAAGAGGGAAAAAAGGGAACAACAAGCAAAAGGAGGGGAAAGTGAATAAACTAAGGAGGGGAAGTTTGGGTGAGATAAAAGCAACTTTTGGGCGGGAAAGGGGGGCGGGTGCAAGTATGATTTAGGGGGGGAGGTTGAAGGGGGTTGGAATATTTTTAAAAATTTGCAGTTTAGAATTTGGGGCGAAGTTTGGGTTATAGGAGGGTAGGTGCAGGGGGAAGGGGAGTGTTTGGGGGGAATAAAAGAGTAAAGGGTGAAATTTAAAAGAGAAAAAGTTAGTTTAAAGAGAGGTTTTTACAAAGCAGAAGTGTTAAAAGAAAAAGTAAGAAATATGGAGAGTAAAAGAAAGGAAAAGAGAGTGGTGAGGGGAGTGAAAAAGGCAAGAAAGATGATAGAGTGGTAGGCACTGTCAAAAAATTTTTTAATGAAAAAAAGGGAAAAAATTTTGGAGTGATTTTAAAAAAAGTTAAGAAAGCCTAGAGAAAAAAAATGGGTTTGTAAATTTAAAAAAAAGAGTAGGGGAGGTAGTTTGAAAGGGGGGAATGGAGGTTTTGATAGAAGGGGAGGGAAAATTTTGAGGAAATTTTTTTATGAAGAAGAACAGGATTTGAGTGTTTGGGGGGGGTGTGGGGAGGGGATTTCGTAAAAATGAAAGGGGGTAAAACAGCTTGGGGACTGATGGGGTCATGACAGAAAAGTTTTAAAAACAGGGGGGAAAATAGTGTTGGAGTTTTTTGGGGTTTTGGTTTTTAAAAAATTTTATGAAAGGGGGAAGGTACCCAAGGGGTTGGCAAAAGCATGTTTTGTCCCCCTTATATAAAAGGAAGGGGGACAAAATTAAGAGGAACAAGTTTACGGTTCTACCCGGGGAAAAGGTACGGTAAGGGGGTTTTTTTTGAAAGAATTAAGGGGATAAGATGGCTCCAACTTCATCCTGTTTTCCCACTTGTAAATTTTCCCTAACAATAAAATGCTTTCAAAAGGCTTTATGTAGGTAACAGCCCCTTAGCTCGCCCAAAAAAGTTAGGAATCCTTAACCCGAAAAAAGCTTGTTCAATTTAAAACTAGGGGGTCCTTAATTGTCAAAAAACCCTGTGTATAAAAGACAGAATGTTTGGATTTCGGGTGAGCAAGGAGGGGGTTTTTGGTTTGGGGAGGGGATGTTAGGGAGTCAATGTTTTTATTGAACATATACGTGGGCCCGGTTTTTAATAAAGTAGGGAAGTTTTTTGCATTTAGGGGTTTTTGAAAGGCATATATAGAGTGGATAGGGGGAAACCCAAAAAGGGGGATGTTGCAAGTATAGGAAAAAGGTGGGAAGTTTCTAAATGCTGTAAAAGGGGTTTTTTATGAGGGTTTGTGAGGCTCAGGTTTTGGGTGTGTAAAAGAGAGGGGGGACTAAATTCCCCGGTTTAAAGTAGGTCTTTTTACAGGGATGTGTAATGTCACCTTTGGGTTGGGTTTTAAAATATTTATAGATGGGGGGTTAAAAGAAGTAAATGCTAGGGTGTTCGGGAGGGGTGGGATTAAAAATTTTGGGGGGAAACAAAAGCAAAAAAAGGGGAATTTAAAACAGTTGCTTTTTGCGATGAACTGTGCTGAAGGGGGAATTTTAAAGAAAATTTCAAAGGTTAGTGGAAGGTTTGGGGGGGTGGTGTAAAGGTTTGGGAGTTGAAAAATGAACATAGACAAAGTAAGGGTGAGGGGATGAAAAAGATTCAGATAAAGGAAATTGGATATCAAATTGGGGAGGAGAGTATGGAAGAAGTGAACGTTTTCAGATATTTGGGAGTTGATGTGTCGGCGGATGGATTTATGAAGGATGAGGTTAATCATAGAATTGATGAGGGAAAAAAAGGTGAGTGGTGTGTTGAGGTATATATGGAGACAAAAAAACATTATCTATGGAGGCAAAGAAGGGAATGTATGAAAGTATAGTAGTACCAACACTCTTATATGGGTGTGAAGCTTGGGTTGTGAATGCAGCAGCAAGGAGGTGGTTGGAGGCAGTGGAGATGTCCTGTCTAAGGGCAATGTGTGGTGTAAATATTATGCAGAAAATTTGGAGTGTGGAAATTAGGGGAAGGTGTGGAGTTAATAAAAGTATTAGTCAGAGGGGTTGTTGAGGTGGTTTGGTCATTTAGAAAAAATGGATCAAAGTAGAATGACATGGAGAGCATTTAAATCTGTAGGGGAAGGAAGGCAAGGTAGGGGTCGTCCTCAAAATGGTTGGAAGGAAGGGGTAAGGGAGGTTTTGTGGGCGAGGGGCTTGGACTTCCAGCAGGCGTGCATGAGCGTGTTTGATAGGAGTGAATGGAGACGAATGGTATTTGGGACCTGACGATCTGTTGGCGAGCAGGGTAATATTTAGTGAAGGGATTCAGGGAAACCGGTTATTTTTATATAGCCAGACTTGAGTCCTGGAAATGGGAAGTACAATGCCTGCACTCTAAAGGAGGGGTTTCGGGATATTAGCAGTTTGGAGGGATATGTTGTATATCTTTATACATATATGCTTCTAAACTGTTGTGTTCTGAGCACCTCTGCAAAAACAGTGATTATGTGTAAGTGAGGTGAAAGTGTTGAATGATGATGAAAGTATTTTCTTTTTAGGGATTTTCTTTCTTTTTGGGTCACCCTGCCTCGGTGGGAGATGGCCAACTTGTCAACCCTTTCAGGGTCCAAGGCCCAAATCTGGAGTCACGCACCAGTGTTTACCTGGAGTTTACCTGGAGAGAGTTTCGGGGGTCAACGCCCCCGCGGCCCGGTCTGTGACCAGTCCAAGAATTTAAAAAAAAAAAATTTGTTATTTTTTCTTATGAAATCGTAGAGAATCATTTTGTGAAGGTAAGAAAACAAAAAGTACGAAATTTGGTGGAAAATTGACGAAATTATGCTCTCGCGAATTTTGATGTGTCAGGGATATTTACGAATCGGCGATTTTGCCAACTTTGACTCCCATTTTAGGCCAATTACATTATTCCAATCAACCAAATTCTTAGCTATTTCACTAGTATTACTTCTATTCTATCGATTGAGCACAAGAAATCGCCAAGTCAACTGTTTCAACTACAAATAAAGTGATCGGAAATTGTTAATTTGGCCAATTTAACACAAAGTTCAAAATATTCCAATTTCAAAATAGGGTCCAGAATGAACAATGTAGGCATTCCTGGCACTAAACTAACATTTCCTCTGTTCATTAGTTATGTTTTGAGGCTTTACAAATAAATTCCATTTTGATTTTTTATTCACATAATGAATTTTTATTCACACCAAAAAATAGAAGATTTACTGTTATGCAATACTGTAATAATTGTATAAATATCATCACCATATTTGTGAATGTATATCAGACCCACCAGCTGAAGTGTATTAGACGTGTGAGGTCGTTTGTTTACTCTTGAATATCGGCAAAAATTTAACATTTCTGCTACTTTGAGCTCAGTTTCAAGCCATTTCCAGTGCTAAAACCAATCAAAATCATCTCTATTTCTGTAATATGTCTTCCATTCTATCAAATGAGACCAAGAAATCGCAAATACAACTATAAAAAACATACGAAAAAACACTGCAAAGTTGCTGTTTTAATCGAAAAATCATGATTTCATTTTTTTTCTCTCATTATACACAGTGTGCTGCAGGATCTGTTTTATGTGGTGCACACATACCACATAGATGTATTCTCTCATATCTAGGCCCAAATGTACCACTCACAGTTTATCAGTGAGCTGAGCTCATGGCGTAGATCTACGGTTTGGACCCTGAACGTAAAGCCGTAGATCTACGGGACGGACCCTGAAAGGGTTAAAATGGTTTTGGCTATTTTTTTTTTAATTCCATTAATCATGGTTTAAATCATATACAGCATATAATTTATTCAGTCTTAAGCCATAAATCGCCAAAAATTTCGGCAAAAAGGAAAATTTCCTCACTGTTTAGGCAAAAAAATAGGTTATATGTTTCTGGTTTCTTAATTCAGCTAATACCCTGCCACAATGGAAAGTTGATCTAACACTGGGGGCTCAGTCCCTGCCATTATAAAATGACCCAGGGTAAGGGGATCAAACCTAATCCCACCAATAAGGTGACAGTGTCAGGAAGCTCAAATCTCAATGCTAACATAAGAACATAAGAACATAAGAAAAGGAGGAACACTGCAGGAGGCCTGCTGGCCCATACTAGGCAGGTCCTTTACAATTCATCCCACTAACAAAACATTTGCCCAACCCAATTTTCAATGCCACCCAAGAAATAAGCTCTGATGTGAAAGTCCCACTCAAATCCAACCCCTCCCACTCATGTACTTATCCAACCTAGATTTGAAACTACCCAAAGTCCCAGCCTCAATAACCCAACTAGGTAGACTGTTCCACTCATCAACTACCCTATTTCCAAACCAATACTTTCCTATGTCCTTTCTAAATCTAAACTTACCTAATTTAAATCCATTACTGCGCGTTCTCTCTTGGAGAGACATCCTCAAGACCTTATTAATAGCTATAACAAGCTAACACAGAACTGGGGGCTCAAACCCCACTGAAACAATAAGGTGGTCTAGCATCAGGGAAGGGGCTCAAATCCTGTTGCTACAGTAAAGTGATCCAACATTGGGGTCCCCTCAAACCCTGCCAGCACAGTCAGGTGGAAAATGACCAAGTGTTCGGGTATGTGAATGAATTGTCACATCTTTCAGGTTGGGTCTCAAAGCAGAAATACCAATGTAAACTTCCTAACAAAAGGTATTCTTCATACATGGTAAATTTTACAAACAACAAAATAAACAATGCAGTACCATGTTTTCTGAAGGTGGGGGGTCTCGAGAGCAGAAGAATCGGTAGCCGGTTCTCTTCTGGGATTTCGGGCATATCTGATCCAGGTACTAAATTCTGTGATCGACGCTTATTGATGAGGGAATCAGGTTCTTTAGATTGTGTTATGATATCCCTTAGCCCTCTGTCATAGAGTGGGCTGACTACTGGCCAGTCTGGATGCTCAATGCTTTCAACATAATCTGGAATAATTTGAACATAAATACCATAATTTCACTATACACAATTTCACTATCAAATAACTCGATATTAGACATACAACTTGTTAATTATTTGATCATGCCTTAAAATTTAAAAATATATTTATTCACAAAGTGGAAATGGGAAAAGAGAAAGGAAGAGACAGAGGTGCTGAGGGGTGATCGCTGGCTGAAAGTGGTGGTGGTTACAAATCTAAATGCATTTAAAAGAGAAACAACTAAAGAAAAGATATAATTTATGAGTGTTTTTGTGAGAGAAGCAGTGTTTGAGTGAGAAGGTTGACAGTGAGGGTAGTGATTTATGACTATTGTAGCAGAGCATGTGATGTGGCTAACACACCCCTTCCTCACTCCACTAAATGCAACAGTATCAACTCCTAGATTGCAGGACTAGTTCAAGCAACTCAGGCAGCTGAGTAACAGCGCAAACAAGGGCTGGCAGATACCAGAGGCAAAAAATTTTTAAGGAACTTTTATTTTTTCTAAAGCAATAAGAAGTTGTTTCAAAAGATTTTGTCTATCACATTTGTTGTTACCCACCAACATAAGGTGACATAACGGAGGAAATACATTTGATATCACTAGTTTAAAAGCAGTCAAATGAGCTTTATATCTCTAGTACCCTGCCACTCAGAGTGTCACAGGTGCATGAAGTATAACACTACATATGAACTTAATCAACAAAAATAACCAATTTTGATTATACAGTACTTCCTTTAGCACTCTTCATCGCCCTTCCTAATTACTTCTGTTATACTCTTCACCCTTGCCGATCTCTGATCTGGCATATTATGCCTTTTAGCATACTGAACCTATCTTGCAGTGCTGTGTGATCCTTATGGGTTTAGCACTTGGTTATGATTTTAATAATAAAAAATAAAATAAAATACATAACTGCTAATTTTGCTCTACTGCCATCACCAATGGGAGCATTAGCTACTTTACTGCAAGTCAATATGTATTATGGTTGTGCAGCTTTAACATTACAAACTCTGGACACCATATGCTTCATAATCCAGGTGATTTGATTATATAAGTGTCCCTCCAAATTTGTTGGAAAGGGGTGTTATGTTCATTCAGGTCCTGCAAATGTAGAAACTGCAAGCGCAAAAGCATCTTTGTATAAATGACAAATTTTGTTTCAACGTGTATCGGAAACCATCTCTCAAACAAATCACCTATCTGGTTAATACTGATATTCACAAGAAATTATGACCAAAATAAGAGATTTGAGTGCGGGGAAAGACATTCAACCAAGAAAAAATAAAGTTGGATAAATGAATCCATTCACTGGCTGCTCAAAGCTAAAACTGCTGGATAATCAAAATAAATGAATATGGAAGCCCATGAATTTGAAGGGAGGACAAATACCATAGGATTTCACTCAAAATGTTCTCATTCTCTCTTATGAATGCCAATATTAAGCATTTTAGAGATATTGCCTTTTTTTTTTTTTTTAATAACTCTGATGTACAAAACATAACTAACCACTGAGCATTATGGGATTCAAATGTATTCCCAAAGTACAACCCACCTGGTATTAATGTGCAGGCTTGAAATGCCTAAAATAACAATGAGATGATGCCTAAACCTTTGCTGGCACGAACACTCATTTTTAGGCTAATACCATCAATATTAACCAAAACACACTGATATCATTACAATTAGCCAATATCGATACTCTCAAAACTATGCAATACCCACCAATATGATACTGATACTTTGCCACACCCCTAGCTTAAAATCAAATTGTCAAAAAATACAACAGTAACACATTCCTCTAAGCTGTTTTTGTGTGAACAAATGGCATGAAAAATTGTATTTACAGGCACTTACCAGCAGTGAGAGTAGCAAAGAAGCCCTTCTTATGAGGTAACGTCACTCGAGGGTCTCGAATTGTTATTGGCAGGACAACTCGCGAAAAATGGCGAGACGAGGCCAACTTCTTCCAAGCACTGACTTGCTGGTGGTGGCCCCTTACCCTCTCTTCATTATGATAATATTGTTCCCACCACAACTGGGTGGAATCATTACTTTTATCACATGAACTATGTATATTGTCTTCAGGTTCAGGCTTTATATTGGCAGGAGTGAAAGCAGCCATTAAGACAGAGAGAGACCTGGGTCCAGTGAGCCGAAACCTATTCAGAGTGTCCTTAAGCAAAGTCATTGTAATTGAATTATCAGAAGACGCATATTTAGGTGTTCGTTCATGTGGGATATTTCTTTTTCCAAGTTTTAGCATATCAACACTTCCTGTATTTTCATCCTTTCTTCCCTTTTGATGCTTAACATTTTTTTTATTTTCTGCCACTGATTCATCATCTAATGTTGTACAAAGTAATTCATTTTGTGCATTTTCATTACTAAGGTTTTCCATGATTTCTACTGTCCCACATACACCTTCCTTATCTTTCAACTCGTCTTCATTAGTTGTATCGCATTCAATATTCTTGGTACCATCCATTTTCATCTCAGTTTCTTGAGTTGTTGCATCTTTAGACTGAATTGTAATTTTTTGTAATTGAAACACTTGTACCAGAGCTTCTATAACGTGTCCATGAGCAGATGGGTGAACCCAAATCCAGATCTTCGAATTATCCAATTGTGTTTCTGACATCTCGGAAGATTTAGGGTGCCATTGAATATCAACATCGCCAAGAGCACCATAGGGCTGTCTGCAAATATGAATACAGATGTTTAATTAAAAAAAGTGATACTGAACTACATATTTATGTGCATACAAAATCCTACTTCCACTCATGTGGTGTAAATGCAACTCAACCATGACCAAAGCTTGTGCTATTTCAATGAAGGTGGAAAACTGATAGATAAGCTAGGCATTAAATAAACAGTAAAGCGTTTAATATCTTACTGATGAAAAGTGAGAATCCATTTGAAAATAAATATAAACATGGGCTAGAGATATCTGTTTATTTCAGTTTGTTGAAAACTGAGATTACAGAGACCAAAACTTTTGTGTTTCTAACTGTATTTATTTTTTCTGTCCAAAGGTTACTCACTTTTCATCAATCAGGAATTGACACTTTAAATTCAAGCATTTAACTCCTTCCAACTGCTCCTTGTAGCTATGATTCTATTAAATATACCGTATTCAAAAAATACTTAACCCTTTGAGGGTTTCGGACGTACTAGTACGGCTTACGCGCAGGGGTTTTTGACATACTAGTACGCATAAATTCTAGAGCCGTCAAATCTCGCGGGAAAAGGCTGGTAGGCCTAGATGTGAGAGAATGGGTCTGTGTGGTCGGTGTGCACGATAGAAAAAAATCTGGGACCCAGTGGTGCATTGTGGGAACGCCATCTTAGTAAACAATGTCCACCATGCCTCGCGGTAAGAAGCTCCTCACTCCTCGGCGAATTGGGACACTTTTGTTCCCCAGTGACAGTTCTAATACAAATGGAAGTGCCAGTGAAGATGAGTTTCAAGGTTTTGGTGAGGTTTTGACCGAAACTAATGATCATAATATCGGTAATAGCGAGGAAAACCCAGACGACCCTCAGGCTTCCACCTCTGGTGCTGGGCCGTCTTGTTCACGTTCAGTTGTACCAGAATCCAAGAGGAAACTTCTATTTTCCCAAATCCCAGACTCAGATGAGAGCATGCGTGATGATAGTGATAGTGAATATGAACTACAAGCTCTTCAAACTAGTTCCAGTAGTGATAGTGAAGTGCAATATTCCCCAGTGAAGCGTCAGTATATACGATGATATATGCGCTCTGGTAGTGTGCCATATGCTATTCCAAGGGGAAGGAGTGCATCTTGGAGTACATCCCGTGGCTGTACAACAGGAACAGACAGTGAAAATGACGATGATACTGTTGCAATTGGGATGGAAAATGTGCGTGGTGGTAGTGGTACTGGCGGTGAGGCACCAGCAGTGGGCCATGCTGCCACCCACGCCGCTGCCTCAGCTAATCTACAACAAAGGCCACCATCCCCCACCCACCA